TGGGCTACTTACCAAGACCCTGATTCAAAAAAAAAAGACAAGACAGGTAATAGAAAGTAGGAAGCTAGCTCTTTCTCAGATGAGAAGGGGATCAGGAGGTAGACAGAGATGGAGGGGAAGGAATGGGATAAAAAAGATTTTTTTTTTTTTTTTTTTTTTTTTGTATTTAGGACAGGATGTACAGGGTCTCACTACTAGATCAGACTTGTAGTGATTCTCCTGTTTACAGCCTCCCAAGAGCTGGGATTATAGAAGGGCGCCACCACGTCCAGTCTCAATTGCCATCTCAGCGTGCCCTGGGGGCGAGGCCTGCGCAGCAGGCCCAGGGATTGAACTCCTAGCTCCTGCATCTACCTAAGCAGGTGAAAAAAGATTTAATGTGTTATGTATATGTACCAACTCCACATAAAGAACGTGATCATTATGTATTGAAATGTACCAACTATTTTTAAAAATATATTTAAAAATCTTCATATAATTAAATGTGAGTAGAGCAGGCCTCCTAACCAATCTACACACATTCACCAGTTGCATCTTGGGCACTGTGCACAAACATTGGAGTCTTCCCCTGCCCTCCCAAATATCTGCATTTTCCTGTCCCTGTGGGCCAGGGAGGCCTCTTCTTCCACCTACACCAGCGGCCCAGGCTGCTAATGGGCCCGCAACTGGATCCCTGGAAATGCTACGAAGAGCGGATCGTCAGTGATCCACGGTCAAGTCAGGGTGCTGGCCGCAGTCACTGACTCTCACACATCTGTACTCCCCAGAGACCCTTGAGGCCCGCAGTAAACACAGGAAATTCAGTAATCTCAAAAGGAGGCAGGAAAGGAGATTCCAAGGAGTCGGCCTGGCACCGTGTTTGTACACAGGGAGGGGAGAACAAAGAGAGCTGGGAGCTTACAGGTGGTGGGCAGGGAGAGCAGGAGACAGACTGAGAGCTGAGTCACAGAGAGAATGAGGGCACTGGGGCGCCTCAACTCCTGTTCCGCTGCCCTGGAGGATGGTGCAACTAGAGGACAGAAGTGGGGGCAGCTGGAGCTGGAGATGACACCATGATTCAGAAAGTGGGGACAGGAGTGAGGTGCAAACGGGCAGCAAAAGCTCAGTGAATTTTGAGGAGGGACCCCCGCTCTTGCCTTCTAGGTCTCTGAGACCTTATCTGCCTGGCTCCACTCCCTATGGCAGGGAAGCTGGGATGGCAGGGCCAGGAAGGGGTTAAACTAACAACAAAGATGTCCAGACCCCTGCTTGGCAGACAGAAGCCACCCTGTGGCTGCTAATGTTTCCTTTTACTTGGTGCTTTCAACCTATTTCAAATACCCTTGCGCTAATGATCTCATTTCATCTCCAGCACAACCCTGGGAAAGAGGCAGGACTGGATCTTATCTCTCCTGTGCTCCTCCCTCTTTACCCCTGTGGCTCCCTTAGGAGCCCTCAAACCATTTCTTCCATCCTAGAAATATCCTGCTGAACTGGGCAATGCCTTGGGGCTGCCACTGGGACAGGATGCTGAGGGCTCTGCCTGGGCTCCAATCTGGTCTTGCTCCCTGCTGGCTGTCTTTGGTGGCATGGGACACAGAATCATCCTGCCCCTCCTGGAATTTCCCATGCTGCCCTCCGCTTCTATTTGAAAGTCTGCCACATAATGATCATTTCACCCACTCCCCAGGGAGCTATGTCAGGCTTCCCCTCATGAAGCCAATGGAAACCAGAGGTCTACAGAGACAAAGGCCTCAGCTCTGAGTCACCCAGTGAGCAAATATAGAGAAATATGGGCTGGCTTGGAAAGCACATGGGGCTGGGGTATTGGAAGATCAAGATTCTAATACTCCTATTCTCCAAACTTGGCTTTCATAACTGTCAAATGGAAATAACAGTGTCTGCCTCTTGGGGTTGTTGGGAGGATTAAGTGTGATTAAGATGCCAAAGCATTATGTAAAAATGAGTTACTCTGGTTATTAAGAAATGCAGGTAACATGAGGACTATAGAGCTATGAAAGGAGGCTAAACAATATAAAGGGTCTAGAACCCTTCTCAGTTCACCTGTATGCCTGAGGCAAGTTCAAGGCCTGTTTCCCAAGGCCTCTGCTAGCTACAAGACTATAGTGTTGCATGGGCTATACCTCTGGCCCAAGGATTCTGGCATTACCCAACCTGATTCCTCTCAATCACTTTTTCTTTTTCTCTCCCTCTCTCTCTTTTCCTCATATTAGACACAGGGTCTATGTTGCCTAGGCTCATCTAGAATTCCTTGACTTAAGTGATCCTTCTGCCTCAGCCTCTCAAGCAATTAGGATTGTAGCTACAAGCCACAGGGCCAAGCTACACCCTGATTTCCTGACTGTTTTATTACCCAAGCCTTATATTCCCTTAGATCCATGAATCTTATGGTGGGAAGCCAAGCAGGTACCAGCAATAATCTCTTCTGCACCCCTTCTACCTATTTCCCAGGCAGCTGAAAGGTCCATCCATACTCTTCTTCCTCTCTAGCTTTCATGGCCCTCTCAATACCTCCCAGCTATAAGGAGGTAAGGAGTGTCTTTTGATAGTAAAACCAATGACAGAAGGAAAGGTGAGACTTCCCAGTTGGAACCACCAGACTGTCTGAATTTCCTCTTTGCCGGGGTAGGGTGGGGAGGCTGGTCTAACTGCCGGGCCTGCACATTCTGCTTCTCCCAGGACAGCCCTAGCATTGCCAGACTCCTGATCTTGCCAGTGAGGAGGCACCTCAGTATCACCGTGGCTGAGCTCACAGTATCACCGTGGTGAATTAAATATTAAACATGATAAGGCCAGAGCCCCTGGTGCAGCGGCACATTCCCAGCACACAATGCATACAGCTTGGCTGTCATTCTCCAGCACTATGGGCAGGGCTTTCCCACTCCCAGCCCATACTCCATGAAAGAATAAGACATAACAATGTTTTCTTCCTCCCAGCACATTCATGGTCCCCTGTGTCCTTCCTCCAACTCCCAGTATTGCAGGCTCCAGGCGCCTGGAAATGTCTGGAACACTGAGTTGTGGCATCTGCAGTATTGAAATTTAACAGGCCTGTGATTGGTCAGGCCCCAGAGATGGGAAGGAAACAGCTCAAGAAGTACACCGATTGGGATAGATATATAGTTGCATTCTCTTAATGAATAGAATGATTTGTTCTAATGGTGTTTGTAAAGAGGATCACAAGTCTGCATCTTGTACAGCAATTAACCACTAAGAAGAATATATGCAGTGTATTATTTGTTGAAACTGTACTTCCGATTTGATTTGAAACTGTCTCATTGCTATTTATCAATAAAACTTTGGAAAAAAAAAAAAAAAAAAAAGAAGTACACCGAGGCCCTGACATCGTTCAAGGCAATGGAGAATGGGACATTACTGGGGCAAGGCTTGGCTGTTTCTCATTTAAAAAAAAAAAAAAAATCTTGATAATTTTAGTTTTTATTTTTATTAGCCTGTGTATGCAGCATATGACTATATTTATCATGGGGAGCTAGGACATGGATGATATAGGGGAATGAAACTCCCAACCTGAAAGACACCTGGGCCAACTTTGTCTTCTCTAAAACTGGAAAATGAATTAAAGGGGAGCCCAAGCATGTTGCCCCATTCTCATTTTAATATGGATTGTAGAAATAACTAGATTGATAGAATCTCAGAGATCACTTAGTCTATTCTATTTTTACAGAAAAGGAAACTGAGGCATGAGGAAAGGTAGGGAAAAGCATTTACACAAGGTGACTCAGGGATCTGTAGGATAGCTGGACCTAGACTCTGGGTTTCTGGGATAGAGCCCAGTGCTCTTTCACCCCTACCTCCTCCAGGAGGCTGCAAATTTCCTTTCTAATGATACCACAAAGTTGCCCTGGCACTGAATGGGCCCTTTTCCTGGGAACAGGCACTGAATGGGCCCTTTTCCTGGGAACAGAATCCACTCGTGGTCCTGTTTTGCCATGAAGGACCTGAAAGAGCATGAGGTCTGTGGGTTCTAGCCCCGCTCTCCCCCACTGTAGGATGGAACTTGGTCCTGTCACTTCCTTGAGCCATCCTGGTTCCTCCCCTGTAAAATGGGTTTTAAAACTGCTACCCTTGATGGCTATTATAAGGACTTTTTTTTTTTTTTTTTTAATGCATTTGGTACAAGGTCTCACTATGCATCTCTGACTTGTAGTGATGCTCCTGTTTTCAGCCTCCCCAGTGCTGGGATTACAGACATGCACCACCATGCCAGGTCTCTGGCTGGCTCAGCACGCCTGGGGGCAGGGCTGGCATGGTTTGTGGTGCTGGGATCAAGCCCTGGTCCCTGTGCTTGCCCAAGCAGATGCTTAGTCTGCTGAGCTAGCTCACCGGTCCACTATAAGGATTTTAAGGCGTTTGTACTGTGGAGTGCTGCCTCAAAGTCAGATATTATTAATACAATGGTACCTCAGTTCACAAACTTGATTTTTTCCACAATTCTGGTTGCAAATTGAGTTGAACCAAAACCAAACCTAATTCAATGGTTAGGTTCAATGTTAACTTTAGGAAAAATCTGACTCAGCTCTCATCCACTTCAGGTTGTAACCAGAATTGTGAAGAGAACTGAGTTTGTGCACCAAAGCACCACTGTATGATTCAAGGTCTGAAGAATCCATAGAAGGAGGAAGGGGAGGGGAGGAGGCTGTGCAGAAGTGAGAACCCACCTCACAAGAGGCAAGGTTCTGATCCCGCAGACCTAGCTGATCCTAGGGCCGCCTGTGATCCATAGTAGCAGGTCAGAGTTCATAAGTTCACTGGCTTGATTTCACCTGCCTGCTTTGCTTTGTGTATACCCAGGCATGTGCATGTGCCTGGTTGTCTAATATTGCAGCAATCTGCCTGGCTGCTCTAGAGGCAGTGGGCATGTGCAGTACACAGGGAGGACACCCCACTTCAGGTCAGCTCATGGACCCCCAAAGGGTAGCCTACCATAAAATACCTTTGCTGGGACCTCTCTCCTGCTAGGGCTCCACTGGGACCCTTACCTTGTACTTGGCTGCAAGTAGCTCCGTGGCCTGCTGTTCCCGTTGCAGGTCCTCCAGCATCTTCTCTTTTTCCTCCAGCAGCTTCTGCTTCTCCTCACTCACCAGGCTGCGGTCATCCTGGATGGCTGCCTTCTCCTCCTCCAGCCTCTCCTTCTGCTCCTGCAGGTAATTCTCCATGTTCTTCTCCAGGGCTGGCTCCAGGATGGGCTGGGGCGGGTGGTGGTTGTTGTTGTTGTCATCTTCCTCTTCAGCTACCCAGGCCTCAATCACTGGCCCTTCAGGGTACCCTGCCGGGGCAGACACGGCCTTCTTCCTACGGCTGCTCTTCCTGCGAGGCCGCTTGCCCAGCATTCCCTTCTTCTCCAGCTGGGCCTTCAGGCGGGCAATCTCCTCCTGGAATTCCCTCAGCAGTGTGTCCTTGGGGTCCTCGTTCACCCGGGGCTTGTTTTTGATGTTCTTGGCTCGGTTGGCGAAGCGTAGGGTGGACAGGCTCTCGTCGTAGCTGTGAGAAGCAGGTCCCAGGGTGGCCACCATGATGGTTTTGGCATTTCCCCCCAGAGAGTCCTGGAGCAGCCGGGTCAGCTTGGAGTCCCTGTAGGGGATGTGGGTGCTCCTGTTGCCTGCCAGAGCAGCAATCACATTGCCCAGGGCAGACAGTGAGAGGTTGATTTTGGAGGCTTCTTTAGGCCGCTCCCCACTGCCACCACTGCCACCACCTCCACTTCCACTTCCACCACCAGCAGTGGACTGAGTAACTGTCCCTCCAGTGGTGTTGGGGCCTGCCTTGTTCTGCCTCTCGCTGCCAGCCAGGTCTACCAGGTTGAGTTTCCCCACACGGATGTGCTCCTGGCCGTCTGAGCCTTGCTCGCTGCACTCCACGGTGATCACGAAGATGGCGTGGGAGCGGGAACTGACCTCATTCATGTGGGTGCTGCCCACTGCTCGGGTCTGGTTCCCTAGGTTCATCACATGCTCAATCTCCTTGACATTCTTGGTGACAAAGGAGGAGAGGTCCTTGATGTAAACGCCTGTCTCAGGGTTTTCCTTCAGCTCTAGTCTCTTGCCTGGCTCTTTAGAGAGCAGATCTCGAATCTCCTCCTGGTAGATCTCCAGGTAAGAGGCCCGGACCAGGTACTGTTGGTTCTGGGAGCGAGAGATGTGGGTGAAGATGTGCTCAAAGGCGTTGGGGATGACCCCGCGCAGCTCGGGCTCCACCCAGGTCCCCTGCATGGTGTAAGTCTTGCCAGTGCCGGTCTGACCATAGGCAAACACGGTGCCATTGAAACCCTGAAGGACCGAGTCTATGAGGGGCCTCACCGTTTCATCGTACAGGTCTGCTTGCTTGGAGCTGGCATCGTACACGGCATCAAAGGTGAAGGTCTTGGGCAGCTCCCCAGGGGCCGCGCGGGGGTTCCGCAGGGTCACCTGGCCCAGTCGCACGTCCATGGTCAGGATCTGCTCGTGACCCGCGGCCTCCTCTTTCCTGCTGAGGGGGCGGCACCGGGCCACCACTTTCAGGGCCTCACCAGCCTTGGTCTTACTAGCCATGTTGCCGCTCTGCTGCTTCTGCTGTCCTGCTGCCTAGGTCGGGATCCGCGGGGCGGGCTCTGCCCCCAGGCGCCGCTCTTCAATCGGCATTCAGCTTCGGGAGGTGCGGATGCTGCTAGGAGGTGGCTCCGCCGCTGCTGCAGTACGGGCCTCGGCTCTCCGGTCCTCGGTGCACCGGCTGGGGAGGCGGACTAGGCAGAGCCCGCGGGCAGCCGCGAGGGCTGCGCCTGCCGAAGGGCAGTGCCCGGAACGCGCCCCATGCCGGAGCAGAGCGAGCGCCGCCGCCGTAAACAGCTCCGGCAACAATGAGATAAAGGAAGAGGAAAATGGGATGGGGGTGGGCAGCAGGCTGTCTTCTTCTCCTTCCTCTAGGGATCCATAGCGCGGCTGTGGGTCCGGGGCGGCCCTCCCGAGAGCAGAGGCTCACCTGGAGTCCTCGCCCCTAGCAAGGGGATCATTCATTACAGCTAGCGCGACCGCCACGGCCTCTGCCTTCCCTGCCACCGGAGAATGGGAGAAAAACAGAAGGGGATAGGGCGGAGCAGCGGCGGCGAGAGTGATGTTGCCGCCGCCGCCGCGCTGCGGCCCCGCTAGGGCTCCTGGCTGGGGTGGGGCGAGGGGCGGGGACCCGGGGCTGGAGACGCGAGCCGGGCGCGGCCCGTGGGCGGGGGATACACGCGCATCGCAGCCGACCCCTCTGGGATGACAGGCTCCGGTGCCGAGCGGTCCTGCGCCCACCGTCAACTGCAGCGCCGCAACCGCCCGCCGTCGCCCCACCGAGCCCGAGCATGCTGGGAGATGTAGTCCTGTCTTTGTTACCCGGGTCGGCAGGTTGCGAATGCCTTCTCTAGCTCTCAGTCCCAGAGCCCCGCCCTCCCGCGCCTCTGACCCTCGAGGGACAGCTGAGGTCGCGTCAGCCACGCCTGTCCCCTTCCTGGCTTCCCTCCCGGGTCTCCCGCAGTTCTGCGGGTACATTTGCCAGGTTCCTCTCAGGGTGTCTCAAGGCCACCTGAAGCCTGACTTCTCAATGTTTCTGGGCTGTCCTCCTCTAAGGTCTTGATTTCCTTGAGCCCATCCTGTTCTTTGTGAGGCTGGTTCACCTCACACCTGCACTTGCTCCTGGCTCCCTCCTTCCACTCCACAGCCTGCCTTAACCCATGTTGACCTGACCTCTGACCTCCCAGTTTCACCTCTGTCCCCCTCCCCAGGAGACTGTGTTCAAGGATCCCCATGCATCTGGACCCTTCTCTTCTTCAAGGAGCACCCAGCCTTTGCCCCATGTTTCCTTTCCTTAACTGGCTCTGCTGTGTTGCATTTTTGTTGCTTTGCCCAGAGAGCCTGTCGTCCTTCTGCACTTGCTGCCCACCACCTGGTCAGCATAAGAACTTCCTTGTCTATGTACCTTCCCTGACCAGTTTATTTTTTAAGCCTCATAGCAGAAAAAGGCACAGAATTGTATAAATCCAATTCTGATCTCCAACTCACAGTGCAACTTTGAGTAGACACTGAATTTGCTCCAACCTCAGTTTCCTCCTATGCTTAAAAAAAAATTGGAGAGGGGATGTCATGGAGTGGTTCAGAGGCCCAAATGAATCTTCCCTGGGTCTCTAGATGGGTCAATGTGTGGGTGGTGTTCTTTGGGGTTTGGGGCTCCCTGTAACTAGAGTAGTCCCATGAGTCCAAGGACCAAGGTAGAGTCCTCTCCCTGTCTGCTCTTCTTCCCTCTCCTCTCCTGTCCTGCTCATGAGACCCAGAAGGAGGAGGTGCTACCGTGAGAAATCTCAAGGCCCCTTTTCACACAGGTGCCAGAATAGTCTTTCTCCAAAACATTGCCAATCATACTATCCTCTAGGGAACTGAACTGTTCAGTTTTTCAACACAGAAAGCTCATCTCCTAACTTCTTGCCCATCCCCAAATCCCCAGGACTTGAATGGGGAGGGATAGGGCTTAGGGCTCAGCTGGTAGCTTCCACATTTCTCAAGTTTCCTGGCTGGCCTCCCTCATCTCCTGATCTAGCTTCACTACCTGACACGTTTTGGGCCAATTACATGGTGAAGATTTGGCTTTGTGAACGAACCTCCCTTGGCTCTGACAATCCGACTTCTGGCTAGGTCATTTGGTTTTCGAATTATTTTCTTACTGCACTTGGCTTTGGTTTTGAACACCCTTTTCCTGTTTGGCTAACTCTTCTAACACTAGAGTGATGGGTAAAATGGTTCCTCGCACTGTCCTTTCCAGCTGATTTCACCACCTTCCAGAGCATTGGGCCATATCCTCTCATATGGGAGGGAAGTTGAAATGCTGTTGCTTGCCTGATAAGAGTGAATTATTTTTTTTTCCAGAATCCAGCCACATAATAACAAAATCATCTCCACTCTCACCCCATCACAGCACCCTGACAATCACAGATCCAGTCATAGGTGGGAGCTACAGAAAGCCAGGGTGAATGTAGGCAGCAAGGGAGGGGTCTGTCATGTTCCTGCTCCTTGTGTCATTGGTTCCTGAGAATGCAGAAGGCCTCTTCTCTGTTCAGCCACCAGAGGAGAGCTCCATCCACAGGAGCCTGTACAGCCCATGGACCCAAACAGAGGGCATGAGGTTGCCAGCGCTGGCCAGGGGAGAAGAGGGATGAGAGCAGAAGTGACGGGCCTGCCACCATCATATGTGCGCTGTCCTGTCTCTGCCATGTCCAGCTCTGGGAGGGCCATGAGCACTCATACAGGCCTTGCCTTCTTGGCCTTCTTCTTAGACCTCAGAGGCTCATCATGAGCTTTCTGATTCTGTGCCAGCTTGTTGGCCTCTTGGATTTTGCGCCTCTTGCCAAACATGATCTTTTGGTAAAGGTACTTCTCCCGCTTCTTCATCACAATGGCTAGGCACTTGGCCTCACTCTCCTCCTTCTGGGCCAGCTGCTCCTTGTCCTCCAACTTCATGGTGCCTATCAGCACCCTGGATTTCTTTTCCTCAATCCTCTGCTCCTCTAGGGCTACAAGGTGAGCCTCCTCCTCCTTCTCCAAACCAACCTCTCCGTCTTCCTCCTCCTCACCATCACCTTTATTTTCTTCTTCCTTCTCTTCCTCTTCCGATTCTTTCAAGTTTCCTGGGTCCCCTCCTTGCTGCATAGCCAGCAGCTTCAGTTACTTGGGTGGAATGTAATCTCCTTCCTTCTTAGATATGAAGGGCAAAAGATGTGGGGCAGCTGCACCCCAGGGAAGTACTATGTCACAGGGAGGAGGAGCCAGGAATTGACACAAACACCCACAGGGCTGCATGTAGTACCTGCTGATGATGGGGCTTTGCTGTGTAGGCTGGTCGACAATCTGGTGGGTGATGCCAGCATTTGTGACATCATAGGTGGCCCCAATGCACAAAGATTTGTCCAGGACATGCCCCCCCCGAAACTTCTGATGATGAAGGCCAGGGTACCTTGTGGTTCAGGAAGAACTTCAGGCCTTCAAAGAGCTTCTTGTGCTTTTCTTGAACCTCCAGCTCCTTCCTGTGGTTCTCTTTCTATAATACGATCTCCCCATCAGCAGTAAACTTGTCAACCTGAGCCTCCTCCTTTGCCACAGGTACCACCACATGGGCCAGGCTGGCACTGAGGGCCACTAGTTTTTCCATGGAGCTCTTGGAATCCAATGCATAGGCATCCTCTTTCACCTTCCCCTCTGCTGGGGCCTGATCCTCAAGCTTTGGCAGGTAGTCGAGGTTGACCAACTAGTAGAGGCGGAAGTTGATAAAGCCCAACAAAGTGGTAGAGAACTCAGTAAAAGTGGCCATGACCCTGTAGTCCACATCTGTTGGGTGATCATGGGAGAAGGCATAGGGTGTGACCCACATAGTGGGCTGCCCCAGCACCTGAAGCTGGTAGTAAATGCCTTTGATGGACAGGAAGACCTTTCGCAAGACACTGGTGGCAATGATGTAGTGCAGAAACTCCATGGTGAGCCGGTGGCAGAGCTGGATGGTCTGCACGTGGTACTTACCTGTTCGTGGGAAGGTAGAAAAGAGGAAGCACATGGACAGAGCATCATCCATCCCACAGAGCATCGATAAATGTATGGTACTACTCCTCGATGATGTGGTCAAGTTTGTAGTTAGGCTTATTGTCCTTCAGACGCTCCACAGTGTTCTGCTCACTTTTCCCATAGGCCTTCTGGAGCTTCTGAACAAGCACCTTGTATTCCTGGAATTTGTTGACAATGGATTCATGGAGGAGAAACTTGATGTCTTTAATAAGATAAAAGGTTCGGCTGCTGTGGAACCCTTGTTCACTTTCTTCTTATGTTTGGGTTCATGGGGATAAATGAATGCCCTTCAGGATGCACAGTTGCCTAAAGTCTGCTGGGCTCAGCTGCAGCTTCTTCTGGGCTTTGTTTTGGGTGACGTAGTTGGTGGCAGAACCTCATTCATACTTCTTCTCCAAGCCTCCCATGGTTCCACATTAAAGGCTCTAGCAAGTGAATTATTTAACTATTTTGAATAGATATTTTCTCAGTGGGGTAAGTGAGGATAAGGATGCTTACCTTGCTGGGCATTGTGGTATATGCCTGTAATCCAAGCACTCTGGGAGGCTGAGGCAAGAGGATTGCAAGTTTAAGCCTAGCCAGAGCAATTTAGCAATTTAATGAGACCCATACCTCTATATTTTAAAAAGGGCTGGTGATATAGCTCTGCAGGAAGGCCTTGGGTTCAATCCTTAGTAAATCAATCAATCAATCAATCAATCAATCAATCAATGGGGGCCAGGGAGATGGCTCAGTGGAATAAGTGCTTCCCTGGCAAGGGCAAGGGCCTGAGTTCAATCCCTGGTTCTCAAAAAAAAAAAAAAAAAAAAAAAAAAATCAATGAATCCATTCTTATCTTACCAACTTTCATGAAGATTAGATGAAATAATATATGTGAAAATTTCCAGGTCCATAGAAAATACTCAAGAAATAGTTTTCTTTCCCTTTGCCCTTCCGTTCAAGGCTATGGACATTTGTGTCTTTTCAGCATTGTCTTCAACCATTTTTTCTTCCATACTTGAGTCTGCAGCCACTCTGACTTGTTAGGTTCCCTAAATATGTCATACATATTGTGTCCCTATGTTTTTGTTGATGCTGTTCCTCTGCCTGAAATGTCCTCCTACCTTTGCCTGTTGCTGTCCACATAGCCTGGGCAGGGAGTATATAACACAGTGGTAGAGTACTTGCTTAGTGTATCAGTTACAGTTCACTAGAGGAATAGATTTACTATAATATATTATTATAGACAGTTAAATTAGGTAGAAATATTGTAGGCAGTCAGACAGGGCTAGACCCTTGAAGGAGTTAGTAGAAAAGACATCACAACTATGGCTGGAGGCACATTCATTGAAAGCCAGGCCTCAAGACAAGGATGAAATAGCCAGGCCTGAGAGTTAAGCAATATATTATAATTGGTTTCTCTTGATCCAATAAAGTCTAGATAGACATCAGTCATCCAGATGGATAACCAGGATCTCATGACTCATCCCTTCCAGAAAAGGTCTTTGTTCTTTCCATGTACATTTGCTACATGCCTTGTTTCCCCATGGGCTCAACATTACCTAAGCCTCTACAGTTGTAATCTTATTAATCAATCATAGTTTTGTTCCAAGTTCCCACCTTATGATTTTGCTCTATAAAACTTCTTTTGAGAAGT